GTTTTTGTACAAACAAGGCTGGGAAGGAGTCCCAGGGAACAAACTGTCCTGGTTTTTGGGATCACATGCGAGGAACTAAAGACCATTTTGCACAACCTGCCCAGGGCCACCCATGACCTGCCGAGAGGGTGCGGGGGCTCTGGGGTTCCCCTTGACTCCGCATGGTCTCCAGGAAGGAGACGTGGGTTGGGGCCCCTGGATGCCCTCTGCTCCAGCCTGTCTTTTCACCTTCTTTGCAGAGTTTGTTCGCATGATGTCCCGCTGAAGATTATTCTCGGCTAAAGAAGAATCAGCACCTTAGAGAGGGCAGAAGAGGACCTAGATGGAGCATCTAGCCCCGATGTTCCCATGGGAAGGTTTATCGGCTGGCTGCGTTTGGGACATTGCAAGACGACCTGCTGCTCCTCCCTCACGGTGGTCCCTATGCCCCTCCACCCTTTCACACTGTGAAAGACTTGCAACTTCCTACGACTGGAACCATTCCTCGGAGAACATGATTTGCAGGAAACTGCAGAGCCAGGACTTGCCATGATGCTTTCATGGGATATTTGCAACTTTAGACTCCTCCTCCCCAGCTTTTATTCTCCCACCAGCTGCTGCAAAGCAAGAGCAGGAGAGCTCCTCTTGGCTTGGTGGACGAGAGCAAAGCCATCGGGACTGGTGGCAGCCTCAGGGCGTGCTCTGCACTTCTTGGTTTCCCTTGGTGAACCGTGTCCGTGTTTGCTGTCTGTGTGTGTGTGTCTCTCTGTGTGGAATTATTTATGCTTCCCCCAGCACACGTTTGCATCTCCTGTGGTTATGTTTACCAAGAGTAAATTCAAATACATGTCTTGTGGGGGGAAAGCGGTAAACGTGCACGCTGAAATGATGCGGCGCCTGGATGTCTCTGGGAGAGGCTGGGGAGAAGGGCTGTGGCGGGTGCAGACCCAGGAGCCAGTGCCACATCCCTAACGGAGCCGTCGTGCCAGGGAGGCTCTGCTGGGGGCCGCACAGCGGTGCCTCCCCAGCTCCTGCCGACCTCCCGCTCCCCTAGCCCGAGGCGCTGCCTGTGCAGCCGCTCTCGTCTCGGGAATGTGCGTGTGAGCACAGGAGGGGGCATTTGCAGACCTGCACGTTTGCTCGTACCACAGCTGCGGAGCGGGGAGGGAAAGCGGGCGGTAAACCCAGCAGAGTGGAGAGTCCTGCTAAGCTGCACGTCCCGAAGCTCGCACGAGGGAGGGAGCTGCACTGCGCGAGCCGCGTCTGCAGCCAGGAGCGCTTGCACACAAGAGACCTTTGCAAAGGAGGCAGCTGATGAAGAAGCCGGCGTGCAGAGCGTGGCTGCGCTGCCTGCCCGTGCGTGGGGGTTCCTGATTTACTTGGAAGCGTAGGGCTCATCCCTGGAGCTGGGGGACGGGCGGCCCAGGCGCCTGCATCATGGCAGAAGGGGCCCCTCAGCCGCAGCTGGGCTCCTTTCCTGCCCGCCTGCCTTTATCTGCATCACACAACCCCAAACCATCCCAGGCAGTTTTGCTGTTTTCTTGCACAGGCAGGGCCAGACATTAAAAGCTCCACTCTAATAACCCAATTCCAGATATAATCCCATAGCTCTCATCTCCAAAGCAGCACCCGGAGATCTGCAAATAGCAGGGCAGACTTCGGCACCGTGCAGCCCCGCATGGGCCGGGATCAGACCCTTGTGTAGCCACCAAACCTGGCTCCTGAGCACACCCCTCTGTGGCTCTTCTTGGACAACCTGAATCCCGACCCTCATTCCTGGATGGATGGAGAGGGCTGTGCCCTGCAGCATGTGGGGACGGCTCGGGCAGGGCTGAAAGCTGCTTTGGTGCTGGGGCCAGGGAGAGACTGAGGGATTTGCGGGCAATGCCAGGCCTTTTGCTCATAGGTTACTGGTATAAACTCAGCTAGAATGGAGGAATTAGCAATCCGGTGGGGAGCCTGTGACATCTGGGGACAAGCTGACCCCCTGGCCAGCAGTGCTGCAGGTAATCACAAGCCAGGCTGATGAGTAGCCGATGTCCCGCCTGGAGACTGGAGCC